ATTGCGACGAAATAGCGCATTTTGCATGATTTACCCTCCTGCATCATACATTTTGGAGTCTAAATAATTTTGCTAACGTCTCGTGGCACTATTCAACTCGCACCCCAATGAATGAAAAGCTCCTGTGACAGGTTCAGATAGCCTGGCCTATTTAATGTGAATTGTGGTGTTGAAAGAACTCACCTTCGTGCAAAACTGCTTAACGAAGCAGCTCGTTACACTTTCCAGTGGCATGTGAGGTTGAAGTACAATATCGTGGAAGATGTCGTACATTGAGAAGTTCTTCATATCGTGATCAACAGCAATCTGTTCAGACTTCTGCAGTTTGTTCGGGTGGAATTTCTTGAAAGTCAGTGCCTTAACGCTTAATATTTATGGCTGAGTGAAGCATTTCCCTCACAAGTATAGTACACGCCGATCGCGAGTGGGCGGAGACGGGCCCATGATTGTGTATTCCCATTATCGTCTCAAGTGGAGGGGTGTACTAGTAGAAGGCACAATAGCAGGCCTGTCGTGGCCCATTCGACCAGCGTGAATACTGCCTTCAACTAAGGGTGCCCTTTGTAAGAACAAGGTTCAAGTTCTACTACCTCTGAAAAATCACGGTTCGTCGGTTGTTTTTTCGGGAGAGTAGTCGCTCCTTTTGCCGAAGAGGGCGTCTAGAACTAAATCATCTTGGAAAGGAACAAAAACCAGGAAATCGATTATTTTCCTCAATATTGCCAGTCACTATCCTTGCAAGAGGCGGAGGTTGTGTAGTGACAAGTGGCACGTTTACCACTTTCGCGGTCCTGGGTTCAAACCCGGGTCGACTCCCGCCCAGGCCCATTAAGCCTTCTATACTCCGCGGACGGTAAATTGGAATCAATAAGCCTTTGCGACTCTGAATGGAAGTAGGATGCGTGCCGCATCCCACAAAGGGATTGATCAACAGCGAAACTTCATCCTTTCATCCTGCAAACCGAATCCCAGATCGACTGGCAATCTGGATTTGACCCATGGACCAAGCGTAAGCTGGCTACTTGCCACTGCACCACTTCCGCCGCCACTGCATTTTTTCAGCGCTCAAATTGGCCTCCTTTCGAATCCATTACGCCTGTGCGTTACTCGGAATGCAAATTGGAAGTTTCGACACACCGAACGTCCGGGGTTGATTGTCCGCCATAATCGACCAATCCTTGAGACTTTTACTCTTGCGTTCCTATCGTTCTGAAAGTACAATATGCCGTGCTGTCTATATTAGTATCTTATCTAATTTTTTATGGCAATAAGCAATGTGCGGAAGAAATTGTGTTGGTAACGTGAAAGACACCCTGAGAGACGCCTGATGGGCGGAGCCACGGCACAACCTCATTGGCGCGCCCCATCTTTTCCAGCCCACTGCAGCAGTGAAGAAGGTGCGGAGAGACAGGGCGCACCAATGACATCCTTCACTGGCTCCGCCCTCCCAGCAGTCTCGGACGCGTCCTCAAGCACGAAGTAAAAACATCTGCATGTTCTGAAACCTAAAATGCTTGCCTCAATTTGTGCGATACGTGCTTCCAATTCACGAATTACTGCTGCTTCCGCATTACTGTACTCCACAACGGCAGCTGAATTCTGTTCCAACTGTACGATTCGAGCTTTCAGATCGCAAAGCACTTGTGCTTCCATGTTGCTGTGCTCGACAGAAGCTTCTGAAGTCCTTTCAAGCTGCACTATTCGTTCTTCAAGCGATGAGAGCACTTCTGCATCCACACTTCGCTCCTCAGCAATGTCGGATGAACTTGATTCATCTTCAAATCCAGTTGTTCCCATTGTGGAAGGTCCAGCCGCTTCCGGATGAGAAGCCACGGAGAAGTCACTTGTTTCCCCACTGCGACCATTCTCGTCACGTTCCAGCTCAGGCACAACTTCTTCTTCAACATTGCTTCTTTCGACATTGAGGGTCGAATTTCCTTCCTAAACAGAGCTATGGGTAAAGCAATTGGTAGTGATCTAAGTAATAATAACAGTGGTAATATAGTACTCATCCAAAAGCCCTTACTTGGTGAGCTGTATGATTAAGACCCGATGGAGGGACGGCTACTACCAAATAACCCTCCGATTCCCCTAACAGAATCTGCCAATCTCCGCTCCGCAGTTCGATCGCATCAGAGAAGAGAACCAGGAGGGGGGGGGCGGGGGAAGGTCGTATCGTCACCTCCTAGGGGGAGGGGCGTACGGACTTGACGAATCTCCACCCACTGATGTGTCCTGAACAGGAATTTTAGCTCCAAAGCCTGTGCCTGAACTCGTCTACTGGGCACGCCGATGGGTGGAACTGGCCTCTCTCCTGCTTCCTTATTGGCTCCTGATCTTAGGAACGACCTGCAGTGTCAATGAGGAAGCGTATTTTCGTATTTACTCGTCGCTTTGAGGGGGGGGGGGCGTGTCTAGCCCTAAGTACGAAAAAGAAAAAGATTAAGGAAACTAAAAAAATCAGAGAATCGTTAGATAGGATGTGGAAAGAGGATCGTACTAGGGAAGGAAAAGGGAAGGAAATGTGGGGTGGGGTCGTTTTGTGCAAAACAGTTGACCAGCGACGAGACTTGCCCTGATCTTTGTACCAAAGGAAGTAGGGCAAATTGCAAATAAAAGTAGTGAGGAAACAGACCTGTAGATTGGCACTGGATGCAGTATCCATATCTGAACATTGATTAAAAGAAGAATCGAAGTTGTAGGTTGTGTGCCTTCGTGGCAGTCTTTCGCCATGTTTGCTAAATTATAAACCCTTGAACAAGCGAAGTTCAATGTAAATTATTATTATTCCTTAATAGTTTTGATGATTTCTGAAGATGACTAACGAGGAAAACTAGTGCTCAAACTTTACCTTGAGCTGACCACACTGAGAATTTTGAAGGATATTTCAACCTTCTGTTGAATCGGAGAAACCACAGAACGTGGAATCACGAATAAGTGGAACCGATTATTCGAATGAAATGTGGCGAAAGCCTGAATCTCTTTATAGGTCGCGAGACAATGATTATGAAGGGTGTTGCATAAAAAATAAAAATTTGGCCCTTACGGTCACGAGTAGACTTCCGTCGAGACCTTAATTTATCAGGTTCGTAAACGTTTTTGAACCCGTGGTGGGTCTCCATCGAAAAAAAAACTGAACTCTGGCGAGAACAGCGTTGCAAAGGGTGTCGCGTGCGTAACTTTCGCACAAGGAGCTATTCGATTTCATACAAAAGTGCTACAGCAAGCCAACTTAGGCAGCTAAGGAACGCCGCCCGTACTTTCTGCGTTCGCCACTACTCGAATCTCCTGACCCGCCTCTAAAAAAGTTAACAAAAACCTGATCGACCTCTCTATGATCCGGAATTTTACTTGTTCCATCTGAACAGTGGAGCATGAACTTACTTCCCGAACTGGCTTTCTGTCCTCTTGACCTAGTATCGCCTCTCGTGGATGAAAGTATGATAGAGATATGAGTTTCACAATACCATGCACTGTTCTCTGAGCCGGGGTTGCACCACAGAACTATTTCCAGCACTGATAGGTGAAGTGTAGCTTTAGCTTCCCTAAAACGAATGAAGACAGAATACGCACCTTCCACCAAGTGACCGAGAGATGGGGTGGAGGGGGGAGGGTGGAGAGAAATGAGCCCGCCTCTGAATCCATGTTCCACCTACAGTGGTCGACCTAGTGAAGGATTAAGGAATAAAACAACCAGTGGTCGAGTACATCACCTGTATTACACCCATTTTCTAGTCACCTATTATCCCTTATTTACCAGGGTCTCACGCCCCGATCTTCAGCGCGCTGTTCCCTGTAAAGGCGTGTCAGCGGGACAGGTTTGGCACGGCGTCGAACCCTTCGCCCACTTACTGTCGAATTGAGCAAGCGAAAAGA